CTTACCTAGTTTACCCTTCTATATTTTGGAATTCCAGGAACAGCTATAAGGAATATAGGTATTAGATGAGCTAATGCCTGAACAGTAATCCTTTCCACAACATCCTTGACAAATTTCCATTTGGGAAGCTATGTGGCACAATGGATAGAGTACTAAGACTCGAACTCAGGAAGAACTGAGTTCAAATCCTACCTCAGTTACTAGCTATATGACCCTGGACAAGTTACTTGACCTCTCTGTGCCTCAGTTTCCTGATCTGGAATATGGGGATTAATAATAGCACCTACCTCACAGTTGTGAGAATCAAATTAGATAGCATGTGTAAAGTACTTCGCAAACTTTAAACCACTTATATAAATGTTAGCTATTGTTATAATGAGGGGGAGGAAGAGGAGAAGATAGAGAATAGAAACAGTGCATATGATGAGTAGAAAGTGCCTAATAAAGTTGTGTAAAGGTTGGCACAGTGTATCAGTACATTTTCTTCCAGAAATAATGTTGTCCAGCAGCCAGGATGTGCCACTCTGCCCATTCCTGTAGTACCACATTGAATAGTCACACATACAAGTTGGCCTCACTTGATGCATTTAATAGTATATCTGAAAAGCTGCAGGTACATATGTATTTATCAAATCATTTTCAATATGCCAGTGTATCTTACTGCCTAAAACAGAGGTTCTTTTTTAACAGTATTTTATATTTTTTATATTTTCCAATTACATATGAAGATAATTTTTAACATTGACTTTTTTTTTTTTTTTTTTTTTGCTTTTTGCTGAGGCAATTGGGGTCAAGTGACTTGCCCAGGGTCACACAGCTAGTAAGTGTCAAGTGTCTGAGGTCAGATTTGAACTCAGGTCCTCCTGACTCCAAGGCCAGAGCTCTATCCACTGTGCCACCTAGCTGCCCCAACATTCACTTTTAATAAAATTTTGAGTTCCAAATTTTCTACCTCTCCCCACTCCCTAAGATGGTAAGCAATTTGGTATAGGTTATATATGTGCAGTCACGTAAAACCTATTTCCATATTGGTCACGTTGTGAAAGGAGAAATTGTTTGCAAAAAAAATTTTATAGTTTGCAAAAGAAAAAACCATGAATCAAAGAAAGTGAAAATATTATGCTTCAGTCTGCATTCAGCTCCATATTTCTCTGAATGTAGATAGTATTTTCTATCATGAGTCTTTTGAAATTGTCTTGGATCATTGTATTTCTGAGAAGAGCTAAGTCAGTCATAGCTGATCACCTCACAATGTTGCTGTTACTGTGTACAGTGTTCTGGTTTTGCTCACTTCATTCAGCATCAGTCCATAGAAGTCTTTACATATTTTTTCTGACATCCACCTGGTCAGCATTTCTTATTGCACAATAGTATTCCATTACATTCATATACCACAACTTGTTCAGCCATTCCCCAGTTGATGGGCATCCCCTCAATTTCCAATTCTTTGATACCACAAAAAGAGCTGTAAAGTAGAGGTTCTTAACCTTTTTTGTGTCATAAACCCCCTTTTTAGTCTGGTTGAACCTAGAGACTCCCTCTCAGAATAATGTTTCTAAATGCATGAAAGAAAATACAGAGGATTGCCAAGGAAATCAATTATATTACATTTGTCAAAGTATTTATTTATTTTCAAGGTATTTTTAAAAACAGGTTTAGAGGAACTAGGTGAATTCTCTCATAAGGCAAAAACAAAAACAAAAAAACCAGGTAAATTACAGATAACCACTCAGTGTGCCAGTGTTCTAAGTGAGCACAGCAGCATCTCACTTATCTGGAGATAATTTATCCAGCAACTTCAGCTATGAATCACACATGCAAGGACCAAGTAACCAAATAAATGCCACGCATTTATTAAATTTATTGGCATTTATTAAATGCCATGCACAAAAGCCTTACTCAGAGCCTTGTTGCTCTTGTTTTACACACAATCCCAAAAAGCATTGTTATTTGATTTTTCAACCTACTCTGGGCAGGTCATGACAAGTAGGGAAGACTGTTAGAGGAAGCACAATGACTCCAACTCCGCATTACTCCACAGCCCCTGAATGCATTGCTGTTATAGAGCTGTCTAGTAATTGGTATTTATAACGATGACCCTTGCAATCATCACGAAAGCATAGAGAGAGCATAATTGAAATCTAGTTGAAAAACCACATAGCATAGTGGATAAAAAACTGGCCGTGGAGGCAGGACGTCAGAGTTTTAAACCTTCCATCTGATACACGCTAGCTATGTGACTGTAGACAAGTCACTTAACATCTAAGTACCCCCAAGCAATTCTGCAAGACTCTGAGTGCCATGAAAGTTGTCAACCTCCAATTTGTCAAAAGAGTAGCTACATTGGGAGTTCCTTCCGCAAATAAAATCACAGTGTCAGATCTTTAAAATTCTATTATAAAAGGCATGTTATTGTCTAATAGGTATGAAGATTTCCACTCAGAATCATTAAATAAATAAAAAAGTTTGAGTGTTTAACAATGTAAGCATCAGTTACTGAAAATACACTTGGGTGGACTGTTCATTTCCTTTGTGATACCAAGCAAGTGAAACATGATAACGTGTTACTTGATTTTTAGATATTAGATTTTCTTAAAGCCAGACCACTTGTATACATCTCTATCGATGTTTAATAACTAGCAGAATAGAGCTATAACTTTCATGCTTTGCTTTCTAAATATCAAAATAGCCATCACACAGTTTATATTTGACTACTGTTTTAGCAATATGACCACGTTAGTAAGGAAATTAAGATTGTCACACCTAACAAAGCTATTAAAAGACACTTAAGTGATGAATTATTCATGTGAATAAACACTTTCAGATGAAAATTCTGCATATCAGAAATAATAGATGTAGCATGCCTCCTCAAATAAGCTTTGTTTATTTAATGAAGTTAATCATATAAAATCTTGTTTCATTACCTCAGTGGATCTCATCACATTGGTGTTTTAAGGAATTGATCTCATGTATTTAAATATATATGTGGACTACGGAGTCAAAATATATATGATCTAGACTAGTTTATCACAGTCCTCTCTGTCAAATGTTTTGAAGTTCCATTTCCTAAAGTTTAAAACAAACAAACAAACATGAGTAGATACAAATGTGAAGCAAAATAGTAATGAAGAGGCAGCTATCAGATTTTTTTCTCAGTGTGGTGAAACTTGGAGAACCTGTGTGTTCCGTTGGTGTCTTTGCAATATTAGGCAAACTCAAAGGTGGACCACTGTATGGGAATCTTCAAAGAGGATAGGGACAACAATCTCATAGGAGGAGAGGCAGTGAAAAGAGCACCAGCTCTTGAGTTAGAAAACCTGAGTACACATCCTGGTTCTGCCAGTTAATGCCTTTGTGACTTTGGGCAAGTCACTAAGCTCCTACAACTGGTAAATGAAGAACGGACTAGCTTTACTCTGAGGACCTTTCCAGCTCTGGAACTCATGGATAGATTATGATTTCAATCACTAGTGGGAATATCCATACCCAGAATATCATAGAGCCATTGAAATGTTAAAGAGAACGGAAAACCCTCCAAATGGTTAAAGGATTCTCCAGCAGACTCCATTTACACCAGCTCAATTAATTCATTCATTTCTCCCAAGCAATTTTCCCCAAATAGATATATTCTCACTGTTTTGCTCAAACCCAATATAAGCATGCAAATGAAAAAGCAGGAAGCTCTTAACCTTACTCTATCTATCTAGAAGAGCGATATGCTTGCTCACATTATTTATGTGATTGCTCAGACTATTTCATATCAATCATTCACCAGTTACGATGTCAGAACCCACAAAAAAATGTCAGAGGGAATTATACTACTATTTGGTTTCTAGCTACAGAGTCCTTTTTGTCCTCCATCTGTAACTCCACTTTATATTTTCAAATCTCAGGCCTTAATTTTTCTCAGAACTGAAATCCTATTGCTATCAATCTCATATGCCTGATATGCTCTTTCTTCACCGTCTCCTTAGTTTTTAAGTTTGCCTCTCACCAATACTTGTCTTTCTTTTTTTAAAACCTTCCCTTCCCTGTCTCTTCTGGGCATTAATTAAGTTCTGTCTTATATTTCTGAATGTCTATTTCACACTTTTAATTTCTTGGTGCTAGAACACAATGATTTCCAGAATGCTAAAGTCTTTTTTACGTAACCTATACATGGTACTCAAAGCTTTTTCCCATTATTAACTAGTTAGACTTTGTGTTATCTCACTGTAACATTGTGGATAGGTAGTCCTAGTAACCCACACTTACATGGCACTTTTCTATTTCTGAAGCTTTTTCCTCATAAAAACCAAACTTCTAATTTGGAAATGCCTTCCAGTGATACAGATTGGCTACTCATCTTTAACTTAGAAGAGTTGCTTGGGGCATAGTCAGTATTTGAAGCAGGACTTGAAATAGGACTTCCTGACTTCAAAGCCAGCTCTCTATCCACAGCATGCTCTCTTTTAGTATGAGTATTACTGTCCCTGTTTTACAAATGAGAAAACTGAGGCATGCTAGATATTAAGAGACTTAAATCCCCAGCATGTAATTAGGTTTACACACAGATTTTCTGATTCTAAATCCATAGTTATTCTACTGTATCACTCTCTCAAAAAAACTATCCTCATTTTATAAAAGATGAAAATTTAGGCTAGTAAGAGTAAGTATTGATCCAGTAGGAAGTTGTGAGTCGGTAATGTAGATAGAAATAGAACCCAGGACTTTTTACTCTGAAGATTCTGTCTGATAGATTCTGTTCTTTATTTTGTTACTTTCAATGGCATTCTATTCATTCCATAATCTAGTTCAAAACTCTGTGGCCCCCGTTTGATGTTTTACTGCAAAATTCTTGTGGTTGTCACTAAACAGTTTCTTTTCACTGTTTTGGATGAATAGACTTACCAGTAATTACACAGTGTTTTAAACTTTATTGAGAAAGTGCAATTAGACAGAAATCACTGATCATTTGTAATGTACTTAAGTCAGTTTAATCTTTTGTATTTGTTTTTCAGTCCTAGGCTGTCTAATCTTCCTGGCTGGGCTTTAAAGGATGGAAATACTTTCTTGGACAAGGTAACGTTGACTAAGAGAGTGTTGTTAGTCTACAGAAAGCCACCTAACTAGAATGGATTTGCACTTATTATAGCAGCAAGGTAGCTGTGCTGACTCTTGACCCTTACTCTGCCTTGACATGAAAAGCACTAAGGTCAATGCTGAAGGTTTCGCACCTGGGTGGGTCTTGTAAAAATGTAAGCAGCATAAGTGAGGGAAAAGAGCCGGGGATTTGGAGGAACTGACTTGACTTTGAATCGCTCTGCTGTTTACAGTCTGTGTGGTATTAGGCCATTCAGTTCACCTCTCTCATTCTTGATTTCCTCATATGTAAAATGAGAGAGTTGGGATAAAGATCAAAGAGCAGATGATGAAGCATCCTCTCTCCTTACAGCACAGAGTGGGGTGCAGAAATATCAGATGCAGCCATTGTATCAGAGGTGTTTGTACTTATATTTTCCTTGTCACATAGGATCAATCTAGAGAGGAAGAAATTACTGCCAAAGTAAAGTAAAAAATTGTCAATAAATGTATTTTTTAAGCTAACCAAAAATAGTTCTGTTCTGGTTAATTCTGTTCATGAGGAGAATTGACTAGATTACTAGGGGCTCTTCTGCCTCTAAATTCTATGATCCTAAGTCACTTAAAAGCTCTGCACATCAGTTTCTTCAGTAAAATGGAAGTGATAATAAACATGCTACCTGCCTTTTAGGGTGATTGTGATGAAAGCCTTATGTAAACTTTTGAAGTGCTTTATAAAATTCATCTTCTGCTGCCATATTCTGGCACCCCACATTCAGAGCTAGAGGGCCCTGGCCACACATTAAGTACCCATAGCTCCAGCACACAGTAAGCACTTAATAAATGCTTGTAGACTGCTGCCTCATTTTACAGATGAAGAGATGAAGACAGACAGAACTGAAATGACTTGACCCTTGTTCACAGAAGTAGCAGGTAGTGGAGCCAGAATTCAAATCCATTTCTTCTGGCTCCACATTAAATACACTTTTCAGTGCACAGTACAGAACTACCTTACAAGAGATGTTAGGAAGAAAACACTTTGGAAATTTTAAAACAATGGATATGTGTGTGTGTGTGTTACTTTTTAACAGGCTTATACTGTGGTCAGTACAACTTTAGATACTTTTATTTAAATGTCAGACTTCTTTATCAACGTGTTATGCTGTAAGCTTTATCTAGAAATCGAGCCAGTTTTTTGCTCTATACAATGAACAGTGGAAGTAAAACTGTTGTGTTAAGAAATAAAATGATAGTTTTAAAGATAATACTAGTGAAAGAATTCAGTCTAGCTCTCTTCAGTAGCTCCAATGACTTTGTAAGACTTAATGAAGTAGAAATGTGTTTTGAAAGATATGACTTAAATACTAGCAGAGTTATTTTAAAAACTCCCTCAGAACACTAAATCAAAAGTTGCATTAGCTTCAACATAGGAAACAGATGACAATGACAATGAAAACATCTTAAAATAGTGGCTTTTTTTTTAATATAGTGTGTCTATGTAGTGAGTTGGCCAGTTTTCAAAAATGGGTCTAGCTGTATTCCTGGAAGCACAGCAGAGTAGGTCTTTTAGAGTACAGAATTGAGAGTAACATAGAATGAAGAATAAGAAAAAATATAAAAGAAGAGAATTCTAGAATTCTGAATCTTGAGTCCTCTTCTAGTTTTATCACTGCCTTGTTGTTGGACCATAGATGAATTTCTTGAACTGAATTTTAACAATTTATTATTTATACCATTCATTAAAAAAAATTGAGTTCCAGATTCTCTCCCTCCAGCCATTAGGAAGGCACGCAATATATCAGTTGTATATGTGAAATCATGCAGAACATTTCCGTATTAGCCATGTTGCCCCCTCAAAAAAGCAAGAATAACAAAGTGAAAAAATATATTTCAGTTAGCACTCAGAGTTCATCAGCTCTCTCTCTCTCTCTCTCTGTGGAGGTATATAATCATTTTTCATCATGAATCCTTCAGAATTGTCTTGGATTATTGTATTGATCACAGTAGCCAAGTCTTTCACAGTTGATCACTTTTACAATATTGCTGTAACTGTTACACATCTCCTGGTTCTGCCCACTTCACTTTGCATCATATCAAATAGATCTTCCCAGGTTTTTCTGAAACTATCCCTTTCATCATTTCTTATAGCACAATAGTATTCCATCACAGTCATATGCCACAACTTTTTTAGCCATTTGCCAGTTGATGGGCGTCCCCTCAATTTACAATTCTTTTCCACCTCAAGAAGAGCTGATATAATTTTTTTTTTATATATAAGTCCTTTTCCTTTTTCTTTGATCTCTTTGGGATACAGACCTAGTAGTGGTGTTACTGGTCAAAGAGTGCACACAATTGAATAGCCCTTTGGGCATAGATTCAAATTTTTGGATTGGATTTTTTTTAACTATAAAATTTTTGTTACTGGTGGATCTCCAGAAATAAACCCTTCAGACGGTTCAGTATTATGTTTGTTTTAAAAATAGGGGACCCAGAGTTCAAGAAAAAGTAAAAGAATTTAAGGAAAAACTTTGTAACAAGTAGAATCATCCAAAAGTAAAATGAGTTGGCTTTAGAGTACTGAGTTCCCCCTCACTTGATATCTTAATAAATTTCATGTTAATTGATTGAAGACTGAATAATCATTTATTGGGTAATAGAAAAGATTCTTTGGTCATGTTTGGATTCTACTCAGTGGCCTCTGAGGTCCCTCCAGCTTTGAGATTCTCCAGTTCTGTGAAATGATTTACTCGAGGATATTTAAGAAAAAATTAATTTTCTCCAATGCCATGCTAAGGTGGAGTTTATCCTGGTCACCCTTTATCCCAGAGTCTTTTTCTCTTGCTCTCAACCAGTTGGAAAACTGAGTAAGAATAAGGAGCTTGAATATATTTTTTTTTGGTAGGCGTTTGGGGTTAAATGATTTGTCCAGGGTCACATAGCTAGGTAAGTGTCTGAGGCCAGATTTGAACTCAGATCCTACTGACCCCAGGGCCCCCAGTGCTCTATCCACTGTGCCACCTCACTGACCCTTGAATACTCTTAAAATACTGTAATTTCTCAGAATATGATTATAGTATCATAGATTTAAAGTTGGAAAGGACCTTAGAGGTCATCAAATCCAATCTCTTCATTTTACAGTAAGGAAACTGAAGCCCAAAGAGTTAAGTGCTTTGTCCATGGTCTTATTATTTTGTGTGTCTGTGTATGTATGTATGTGAACAGAAATGTGTATGTTTATGTGTGCATTGTTAAATCAGGAAGTGATTTTTTTTTTTTACTATGGTCTATGTTGTTTAGTTCTGTTGTGTCCGACTCTTCCTGACCTAGTAGACCGTAGCACACTAATGCTGTCCGTGAGGTTTTTTTTGCAACAATATTGGAGTGGTTTGCCATTTCCTTCTCCAGTGCATTAAGGCAGAGGTTAAGTGACTTGCCCAGGGTCACACAGCTTGTCAGTGTCTAAGGCCAGATTTGAACTCATATCTTCCCAACTCCAGGCCCACTGCTCTATTCACTGAGCCACCCAGCTGCCTGTTCTTTAACTCTACCCTCTGCTAAAGCACAAAATGAATAATGTTCAAAAACCATATTACAGTAAAAACTGTTTGTTTGTTTTTTTTAAGTATATGACATTTAGAGATTCAATAGACCTGATTTCAGTGTAGCTGTCATACTAGATAGAAAGGGTTCTTTTCCTACTGGGGTTTCAGAAGGTTCCTAGCACCAGTACATGGTAAGGAGAATAACTTATACGGTATATCTGCCCATTGTTTCTTTCAATGGTAATGTTAAATAATGCACATTAATGTTTTGAATGACAAATACAGTTACCAGGGCAAAAAAGGCTAAAGGTCAAGGGACAGTGCTTTATCATGGAAAGTGGACATGCCTTAATGTATCATTATTTGGAATGAAATTACAAAACTAATTTAATATCAGACAAGGCACTGAAACATCCATGATCTGACTTTAATCATTCCTAATATCATTTTGAGGGAGGTCTTGAAGAGACTTCTGCCATTAAGCATGATTGTTCATTTGCTATTCGTTGGCAGATACATTGTAATTGGTTTCAACATCTTGTTGGCTTAGCTGAGGATTGGCTACTTGCACATGGAGAGGGAAACGGCCTTGACTTTATAAGGTAGTAGGAGGGGTTTTTTTTGTTGTTGTTGTTTGTTTGTTTTTTAATCAAAGTCTTGCTCGGAGACTTAGAATAATAAATTACATGTGCAGAAATATTTAGTTCACGCTCTCCAACTTATGGATAAAGATTACAAGCAAAGTAATTTTAAATGACTGAAGTCTTTGGCCTGATGTGTGACTTAATGTATTGAGTGAATGTTGGCCCAAAATTAAAAAATAATACCTCCTAACTTTATGTTTCAGCAATATCAGCATTAATGCAGACTCTGTCTTTTCATTGATCTTCATTATAAAATCAGAGTTGTACTCCCAAGAAGGAACCATTTTAATTAAAAAATAATTAAATGCCTCCCTTGTTCAGAATACTGAGCTATGCACTGGAGACACAAAAGGTGGTAAAGGTAGATGAGAAAACAAAGGATTGTAAGAAATTTGAGGGTGAGAGATCACTTTCACCTAAAGGAATTAGGGAAAGATCTCATGGAACTGGACTATAGAGCAGGTCCAGAATTAACAACAAAAACCAGTATTGGGTGGTGAGCAGGAGGTAAAAATGTTGACTTGTGCTATGCTCAAAATAACACAAATACTGTCTTCTAATATTCCAGCAATATTTGCATTAAGGCTTATTTCCTTACATGTATTTCTTTTATCTTTTTACCATTTTTTTGTTTCCCTAATTAAGTATTAAGATCCATAATGGCAGAAAATTTGTCTTTGACTTCATTAATATTCTCAACCAGCTCCTTCTTCTACAAACAATGACCCTTAGCAAATGTTGGTGACTGATAGCCAAGTATTCTCAATTGATCCATTAACAAATTTTCTTGTAAAAATGTAATGTGTTTTACATT